ATGTATCAGGCAAAATACAACGGAAATTTACAGTCGAATATAAGCATTTGTCAGGTGGTAGATAGTTAGTGACTATGGTTTAAATAGGCGGTCTAGGCGATCTTTAAATGCTGCGAAAGCTGTAAGTGAGAAATAGCTTTACTTGCCTACTTCTTTCTTTTCAGCTGATTCTGCTTTGAATATTTTTAACAGATCTCAGTTTTTATGACACAGAAATAGAAGTTGGTAAAAGATTTTTTGAACAGCCGTGCCGAGTACCCACTTTTAGTGTTTGCAAATAAGTACCAGTATGTGTACCCAATTACGCGTTGCTGGAAAAATAATAAGCAATAAAGTAAGCTTCATCTTGATGTTCAATTATCAGATATTGAAAATTAACCTATTTTGTGAACACAGAAGAATCATAAACTATCTTATTGTTTACAAAGAGATATTAATACTCATAGTTGCGTACAAAAGTTTTAGTTTTTCTATTACTTTGCTCTTAAGCAAATATCAAGCTGTTTCAATCCCTTTGATCACCATCATCAGCGGCTGACCAAGACATCACAGAATTGCCAATTTCATGCAAGCTGTAGATGTAACTAATCAGATGTTTTTCGGAATTTGTCATAAACAGCGTATCAACTTTTTCTAAGCTTATTCCCCTTGTTTCTGGCACCAGGAAATACATATATATTACAGCAACTAACGTTGTTCCAGAGTATACATAAAACAACCCTGAAAAAAACCAATACATAAAAATTATAAAGACTTATTTGTATTCTGAAAACTTGCTGTTACCAAAGTTTACTTGATATAACTGGCTTCTTTAGTAGCTTAGTAGCTAATTGGTAGCTTCTTTTAAAACTGCTACATCTTACAGCTCTAGTTCTGTCTGATAATCGCAATTTTAACAAGTTGGTTAACAAGGTCAGAGATATAAACTGTTAAATAACATAAAATGAATGAGATAAAATTAGCTTTCTCTTTACTTTGAAAAATTTAATATAAACCCAGTTTGAAATGACTAATCAGATTTCGTTCAAAAAGTACCATATTTTCCAATTTTTTCAACAACACCCAAATAAGATAGCGAAATCGCTAGATTGCTGCTCCAGTTGATTAACGAAGCAACAGAGGCACAAGTTGCTCTGGCCCAAAACGGATAATATTCAGCATTTGATATCCACGGTAACGGTCCAAATCCTTGAAAACTTGCCTACTGCACATCGGCCACAAACGTGCATTTGCTTACAGTCAACAGAGGTTTAAAACTTTGAAACAATAATAAAAACTACTGCTTTTCTTAATGGTTCTGGCAAAAAAAAAAA